AAAAAAAAGTCAGAGAAGCGGGAAACAATGGAAGCATTGATATCAAAATAAACACGGACTTAATAAAATAAGCATCGTTGAACATCGTAAGAAAAAAGCAACAAGGTGAGATATATTTGAAAGAAGGCAAAAGTAAATATAATAAAGTCTGATTTTTGATAACATACAGTAACTAATGAATAACACGACACTTGAATATTATGTATTTAAATAAACTTTTTTTTATTCAAAAAAGACCTCAACAATTACTCCGGCCGGCCTGTCGCATGGCACTCCGTCGGGCTCTAAATCGAATGGCGCCCTTACATTCCCCGGATGAGACGTCTGGCAGACTTTACACCTCTCTAGGATTGTTATTCATAAAGGGTGTTTCATTAAAACGGATTAAATATAAGGGTGTTTCATTATGACAAATCAATGAATAGCACGACACTTGAATATTATATATCTAAATAAACATTGTTATTCCGATACTGACATCAACAATTAATCCGGCGTGTCTGTCGCATGATTCTCTGTCGGGCTCTCAATCGAAAGGCGTATTTACCTTCTCCGCCTGAGACATCTGAGACGCTTTAAAACTCTCTAGGATTTTTATTTATAGAGGGTGATACTTTTAGACGGATCATTGAATAACACAATACTTGAATATTATGTATTTAAGTAAACAATTTTATTCAGCTACTGACATCAACAATTAATCCGGCGGGTCTGTCGGGCGATTCTCCGTCGGGCTCTCAATCGAACGGCGTCCTTACATTCTCCGCCTGAGACGTCTGAGACACTTTACACCTCTCTAGGATTGTTATTTATAAAGGGTGTTTCATTAAGACGGATCAAAGTCAGCAGTAGATAAATCAGTTTTATTGGGGGAAATTATTTATTTATCTAGTGGATCATGTTATTTAAGTCATGGCAATTATGCGTGAAAAATAATATCACACAAATGCCCGCCAAATCTGAAAGAAAAGAAAACAAAATCATTAGTCTCTTAAACTTAATTCACATTTAAAATCGGATCACCTTAAATGCAACGTCAATCGTCGTTATCTTGAATCTCTTGAATCCTGGTCTTTCAATTGTCTCAATCCTTTCTCTTTGTCTCTTCACATATTCTTCTCAGTTTCTTTCATTCTCAGCAGACTCTCGCCTTTTTGGAGGTCGTGTCGCTTTGCTTGGTGTGAGCCCATTAAAGGAAATAAAGTTCTGAACAAAACTGTCAAAATCAGTTTAGTAAAAAATGGTTTGTAAGATAGTTTTAAAAACAGACGGGTTATATGCACAGTGAGAAGTTAAAATTGCAACTTTTTCAAAGACGATGCGATTTTTTTTTCCCTGGGGACCATGGGGAGTAGTTTTTTTTAAATTCTTTTTTTCATTTGTAATGCCATATACTTTTAGGGCGAAGGCGATTATGGGTCACCATGATTTCTTGAGCTCTATAGATGTAACCGTGCATTCTATGCTAACAGTTTTCCACCCTTATCCCGCTTCTGGTACTTCCATCCAGTGCCATGCTTTCCAGATCTTCAAAAATTTAAATGTAACGTTAATCACTATCTACCGACTTCCTCTTTACTCTTTTCCCTTCCCGCTTAATAGTAATGTTTCGGTCCCTGATTCTTTAACACACAGTAACCCCTTGTAGCTTAGTGGCTTTACTGTTTTGCATGGAGTGATATGGATTTAATAAAAGGTAGTATAATGGTTTCTAATTACTTTCTCCACTGTTTAGAATTCAGAATTTAGAACTTCCATTCTATTAGACTAATTGAGTTTCAAAAGTAAATAACACTGTCTAGCCTATTATTTAACCCATAACTGCATAGGAGAAAAAGATTAAAGGTCATTTAGGTGAAAGCGAACTCACTCTGCTTGCCAATCTTACATCTTGTATCCCTTATGCAGCATGCATATCCTAGCGCGTCGTAGATAAAGCCAGCTACCGCCCTATTAAAGGAGGTAGCTGGCCGCTCCTATCCGATTGTGTCTGTCTATTAGGGCGACTATCTAATCCCTGTTTGATCAACATCCACATAGCCTACCTGTGGTTTATACTGCAACTGAGCAAACCTTACTTACAGTTTCTGGGAAAGAAGCATTATCTGCCTTGATCAAGAGCCTGGACAAGAGCAGAACGCTTATACCCTCGGTCACGATGACTTGCCACTTCCGACTAGCACAATAGTTCCGTCTTCCCACTTTCCCACAAAAGGCCTGAGTCAACCGGTGGTATGGCTTCCGTGCACTTTCAAAGGATCGCGCACGCTGGAATCACTTCCGCCAGATCAATAAGTTGCCTTCCTGATAAATCGACCTTGATGAGATTCGAACCCGGTTCTCATGATCGGAAAGCGAACGTTCTAACCACGCAGCCACATGTTGCCTGAACTTTAGATATAGACTTATACTCTGGTAAGTTTCGGAAGAGTAAAACACTAGTCCCTGCCACGAAGACAAACATGTGCTACTTTTGTTCACTTAGAGATGTCGGAGAAGGGTTAGATTGTAGGGATTCAAGAAACTGATTGATCGTTTCAGAGAATTATTGTGCGTGTTGGACAAATTAGCACTAATATATCCGTAGGCCAACTGTTGGACTGTTAAGTAGTATGCACATTTGCCAAGACTGACGTACTAAAAGAGCAGCAGTAACAGACCAAAACCGTGTCATCAGCAGAGATCAGAACAAATCTTGCCCCAGGCATGACAGAACGAACATTGGCAAATGATTTGCTTGCAGAAACGAGCACGCGTACCGCTAGCCAAAATTAAACTAGTGCAACCAAGCCCTAAAGTGGAACTCACATATAGGATCCATCGCTAAAAGATGTTGGTACAACGGTAGTCCGATTGTATCCGTCAAAAACGTAATATAAACCGTCTGGCATGCTTCAACTTGAAAAGGTAAAAAATTGCCAACACTTAGAGCCTTTTTCCTTCTTGCAGTGAGAGTCATTGTATAGGAAGCCCCGAGAGCCACTCGAGGTAGAAAGTTACACAGTAAAAGGCACAATTTTAATTGTTAACCCTAGACATGAATAGGTTAATATTCTAGTGGTTGGGAAAACATCCTCCTTGGTGTCAGTTTCTGTCATAAGTCCTTATCTATAACTACAGAATGAACTCTTCCTAACACTATGTATACTACGCCTCTCAAGAGAGAGTGTAGAATCGAGCCGACCTTATCGACTTGACGGTTGAACACTCTGCCTCTGAGCAGAGAGGAATCCGGACGAGGCTCCGCCGAAGGGCAGAGTCTCGTTCGGGGAGGTTGACGAATCCAGTCCCGTTTATACGGGTTCTACGGGCATTTTTTGGCCGGGACTACGGGCTCGGGAAACCCACGTTAATCTCGGCCTTGTGCCGTATGCAACCCTCGTAGGGGGTGGCTAGATACCGATTCAAGCCGAGCTTCTCTGATCAGAGAGGAACACGGACGAGGCTCAATGTCAATGGTAAATATAATGATAGAGGCCGTTTCAGTTTTTATCCATAGTTTTCCTTTTCCTAAGATGTTTAATTACTAGGAAGGGCAAACATACTGATAGAACCCATTCCGGTTTGAAGTATTCTTTATCCTAGTTACAAGGGACGACGCTGCATGTTATAGTTTTTTGTGTATATATACATATGTGTAACTGTTAGTTAAAATGACTTAATTCCCTTTATAGTCTACCACTAGAAGATTAACCAATCAGAAGCCGCAGAACATTGTATCCGTCGTGTATAAAGGCGGCCATCTTTGTTTTCTTACCGGAAGGACCAGAGCCAACTTGTCAGGTGATCACGACAGAAAGAAGAACTACGATCTGCTACTTTGCTGTGATATCCACTGCGAGCCTGAACTACGCTTTCCTACTGTCTCCGAAGTAGTCACTGCCAACCTCTGGATTCTATACTTGAAAACGACCGTCAAAATGTCTAACACTGCACACTTATCAGCCACAGGGTTAGAACTGGTAAAATCAAGGAATGTAGTTTGTCTAATTGTTTTTATATGGAAGTAGTGATAGAGAAGTGAGGGACTTACGACGGTTCGACTGCTGTTGTATATCAACTAGAACTGCCCAATAATATTTTCACCATCTTCATAAACCTCAGTGGTTCTTTACGTGAGCAATAACATTTTTCTTGCTGCAGTCCTTCCTCCTCCACAGACGAGATGACATAACGTTATTACTAGTCTCCCACGCAAATGTCCAGACATGCCCCATTCTTTAGTGGTATTAGTTGAAATAATTACAGCTAAGATCTCAGTATTTTATTACTATGTACGCTACACACTTAAGAGCTACAGGGTTAGAAATGGTAAAATTAAGTAATGTAATTTGCCTGATTCTTTTCCATGAAAGAAGTGATAGAGAAGTGAGGGACTTACGACGGTACGATTGCTGTTGTATATCAACTAGAACTGCCCAATAATATTTTCAAAGTCTTCTTAAATTTCAATGGTGGTTGTTTATATGAGCTATAACTTATTTTATATCCTGCGGTTCTTCCTCTCCAGCCGAAGACGCCATGTCATAAAGTTATTTCTTGTTTATCACAGCTTCCATTGCAAGGGTCCATATATGTCCCATTCTTTAGTGCTACCAGTTCAGATAATTGCAGCTAAAATCTGTTCCTCTATGCCCAGTATTTTATTAGTATGCAGCAAATTACATTCAGAGAAATTATTCCCAAGAGTCGGTATTCTGTCGAAAGACTGCCGCGTAAATGCTTAAACCCTTAAAATCTTGAGACAATCGTTATCTATTTTCCATATTCTCGTAATACTCACTCCTCCTTTTCTCCTTTTGGCATACTTCACTCATTAACACTCTACTGTAAATGGTTCTTATATTATTTTAATAGCAGTAAAAGATTCTCTACGTGCTTCAAATAGGGTCCGATAGTTTTTAATAAATCTGAACCTACATTCAATTCATATCTAGTGTATTAGGGGTTGCCGCTCCCTTTCTCTCCCAGCATTATCACAATATGTTAATATATACTAGCGCCATTTCTCTTGTTCTCTTGTTTTATCTATCTATCTATCTATCTATCTATCTATCTATATATATATATATATATATATATATATATATATATATATATCATACTATATATCTATCTATCACATACTATCTATCTCATTCTATCTATCTATCTATCTATCTATCTATCTATCTATCACCTTCTTTGTCATAGTAATCTTGTTCACCCACTCTCTCTCTCTCTCTCTCTCTCTCTCTCTCTCTTGGATTGTGTCTCCGCTCCTCCCTTCTAAAGTCTTCTCATTCTTTTTCACTCTCAGTAGTCACTTGCGTCCTTGTGGCATTATCGCCTTGCTTATATATAAGATAAGTTCCTATTTCAGTCGGGTTCATTTCATTCCCCTACGCGCAAATACACTTTGGAAACGTATGAATCCATATTATATCCCCAATATATACAAATATTAAATATTAGGAATTGTATGTCAAAAGTCATAGTTGTTCTCAAAGAATTGTTAACGCAATGTTCAATCGACAAAAAATAATTTTTCTTATAATCCAAAATATGTTTGTTTTTTATTTAAATAGACAATAATTCGTTGATAGCCGTAAAAAAAATAAAATCACATGTTGCAGAGAGATAGATAAATAATGAAAATACATAGATAGATAGATAGATAGATAGATAGATAGATAGATAGATATGTATGAACAAACTGATATAGATAGATATGTATGAACAAAGTGATAGATAGATATGTATGAACAAACTGACATAGATAGATAGATAGATAGATAGATAGATAGATAGATAGATATGTATGAACAAACTGATATAGATAGATATGTATGAACAAAGTGATAGATAGATATGTATGAACAAACTGACATAGATAGATAGATAGATAGATAGATAGATGAATAGATAGATAGATATGTGTATGAACAAACTGATATAGATAGATATGTATGAACAAAAGTGATAGATAGATATGTATGAACAAACTGACATAGATAGATAGATAGATAGATAGATAGATAGATAGATAGATAGATAGATATGAATAGACTGCCAGATAGATAGATAGATAGATAGATATGTATGAACAAACTGATATAGATAGATATGTATGAAAAAAGTGATAGATAGATATGTATGAACAAACTGACATAGATAGATAGATAGATAGATAGATAGATAGATAGATAGATAGATATGAATAGACTGCCAGATAGATAGATAGATAGATAGATAGATAGATAGATAGATATGAACTGACTGCCAGATAGATAGATAGATAGATAGATAGATAGATAGATAGATAGATGATACTGTTCAGTCATACCTTTCAACTTTACACCTTCGCAATTATTTAACCTTTAAAACAGCGTGTCTATTCAATGCTGTTTCAGTGGAGATCAGCTGATCTCAAAAATCAATGATTTAACGTCATTTTTTCCATCAATACATCCCTTCGTGTTTCGCGTCTATATATCTAATTAGCAACTCTGTTTCGTGAGATATATCTTTACAAGGATTTATAAGGTTACGTCATTTCCGGAAGTATTCGCGGACGAATAACTTTGGAAGAAAAAAACCCATAGACAATGCAATATTTGCATGCATACTTCTCGGGTGTGAAAAAGTAAAACTTGTGCAAAGTCTGAAAAACAGTATTGCTTCAAGGAGTATCTTAGCGTTAAAAATATTAAGTTTACTAACGGTGCATTTGCCTTATTAATGTTGTTTCTTTATTATTATAAGCAAAGAGTTGTCATTTTCGAAATATGCATAAAACTACCATTTAAAAAGTAGATTTTTACACATTTTACCGAAGAGACTCGATACAAGAGAAAGATACTGAGGATACCATGAGCCAGACATGTGAGCGACACGAGGTTTTGGATAGAATAGAAACAAAAAGGAAAGTTATACTTAATATCAGAAAGAGGCCGTTGAAAATTATGGGGTATGTAATGAGGAAGGAGTGCTTGGAAAATCTGATACTCCCAGGACGGATGGAGAAAAAGAGGGTGAGAAGAAAAAAGTGCGTAATATACTTGATGGTTTGGAGCAAATGTATAGCAGAACTGGGTTCGAGAGAAATAACAAAAGACAAAATTCATTAAGAACTACAAAGAACAGGAAGATGTGGAGGACCATGATCGCTTACGCCCTGAAGAGACACGGCGCATAAAAGAAGACTCATTTAAAGTACACTTCAGTGCAACGTTTTCCTGCAGTATAAGGGTTAATGGCTAACCTATTATTTACTAAGGAGACCACATGTACTGCATCTATAGCATCAGAAGTGTGTAAATGGCAGATATAATGATAGAGACCATTTTAGCTTGAATCCAGGGTTTTCCTTCTCCTATGTTGTTTAATTATTAGAGACACTGCATGTACTGTTGTTATAGCAGCAATGGCGAGTCTAGGGCAAACATACTGATGTAACGAATATGTATACACCTGGGTTTGCTCTCATAGTAATATGATTGGCTGGTGTCAGCCATAAATACAGACTGATGTGGAGGTACGAGGAGGACGCCTATTGATGACGCCTATAGTCTTCGCCTATTGCCTACACCTATTGCCTACCACTACGACGAGGACCAGTCCATTACCGTCACCTGCTAGATTGTCATACCCGGTTACAGTATTGAACGACCACTTTGCTACTTCGAACAAATATATCCCTTTCCGGGACATATCACATACTGATAGAACCCATTTCGGATGGAAGTCAGACTTTTCCGTATCCTAGAATAGTTAGTTACAAGGGACGCTACACACTTAACAGCCACTGCCTATTCCCTAAATATTTACTCACCTTTTCATAGAGGTATTTATTCGCATGCGTGATACTGTGAAAATTATTCTTTACACTTACCTTCTTTGCGATGATAGTTTCTTTTGCTTACTAAACATCGCTGAATAACCAACACCCACATCTTATCTTGTGACCAGATAGACGGTCACGTGTAAGCAAATAAGATGCATTGCTATAACTTATGTTTAGAAATTGCAGGGGAAAGAAACTTGGAAATCAGCTAAAGAGATAAGCTTGAGAAACGCTTCGGCAATAAATTTATAAGCGAAAGATTTATTTTCATGACGATGACTTATGTCAATATGGGTTTTCTCTGTGTTCGATTCATTTATCAAAACTTACATAAGAAAGGTGAGGAAGAGAAAGAGAGTGAATTGATTAGTTTAGATGCGATACGGGGTAGACGATGACGTGGAAGTGAAATAAGGAGACTGCGAATAACTAAAAGAACAAAGGAATATATGAATTAAGCATACGATAAAGAACACTGATGATGCTGATGTTAGTGAGTCATGCTAGTCAGGGCAGAATGAAAATGAGTTGAGAGATTCTGATGATAATGGAGAATATTTTAACGGCTAAGCCATACCAAGATCTATTCAAAATCTCATCAAACTCTTTCCGTTCCTCATGTTTCTACTACAATAGGAGATTATATATATATATATATATATATATATATTTAGTTGGATAGATGTGAGTTTTGTGACCCTGGGTTTCACGCTTTAGCGATCGTCAGACAAACTGATTAATTTTTTTAAATCTTGGGTTTATGTAGATTGCGTGTATTGGTTTTATTATGGAAGTGGTGGGGGAAACTTCGACGTTTTGTCATCGTACTAACGCAAACATCGATGTATGCAGACACATATACATACTTGGTCGTCCGTCGGGACTCATACATATGTGGGCAGTTTCGGATATGACATATGTATGTATACGAGTGGTGTTGTGTCTATACATACGCATTTGTATGTTGAAATTCAAAGATTGGGGTTGTAGCGAAGATTTCTCGTGAATGTCTCGTGAATTATATTATATACACACACTTTTCACACACACACACACACACACACACACATATATATATATATATATATATATAAAAGTGAACATAGAATTCAACACTTAGAGGCCTGACGATTGCATCTAGCATGAAAGAGACTGTCGCCTCTAAGTGCTGAATTCTATGTTCACTTTTTATTTACACACGCTCTATCTCTGATATTGAGCACTTTATCCCATAAATATAGCACGTCTTAAGTCTATATTTCTTATATATATATATATATATATATATATATATATATATATATATATATATATATGTTGTACATGTTCATAAAATTAATAAGACTTGGATCTCTATGTCGCCGTTTTCCTCTCTCTTTGTCACTTTTCATGTTTCTGTCTGTGTCACTCTAGGAATGGAGTTCCACTGACGGGAGGCGCGAGATAAGACTCTCTTGGAGTAGAGGAAATGGCTACATTGATCCGTTTCGACAGTGAAAGTGTGAGAGCGAGATGCCAAGCTAGTAGCACGCTTAAATTCATGCAATTTGGGACGAGCTACTTTCACTGGTTCCTAAAATTGCAGGAAGTTAATCGTCCCACTGGATGACTTCTCGGCCCTACCCTTACACTGTCGAAACGACTAAATGTAGCCATCTCTTCTACTCCAACAGATTCTTATCCCGCACCCCCACCGTCAGTGGAACTCCCTTCCTATCACTTGCTTCCCTGATAGCTATAATCTTCAAATATTCAAATGTAATGTCAATCGACATCTTCTAATGCCGACCTTGGTCCCTGTCCTTCTCTTTATCCTTTTCCCAAACACTCCTCTTTACTCTTACTCTCACTCTCTGTAACCCCTCCCTTTTTACTCTTACTCTCACTCTCTGTAACCCCTCCCTTTTTTACTCTTACTCTCACTCTCTGTAACCCTTGGCGTGCTAGTGACTCTCCCGCCTTACTTGGGACGATTTGCTTAAAAAAAATATATAAACAAGAAAATGCTAGGCAAAGAATAATTAAAATATATTTTATAAGTATAATGCAATATCAAATGTACAAAGGGTCACTGAAAGACTTACAGATTTGAAACAAAAATAACTTTTACAAGCAGATGAGTTATTTGGGTAGTAAAGTTAGAACCATTTGAATCTTGTATGGAAACATTTTTAAATCCAATTTCAGAATCTTCTGAAGCGATGTTCTGTTGGTGTCTAGGTGATCAGAGTGACAACAGGTAGAAACTGATGGATTCTCAAAGAGACTCTGCCGTACAACTTCCAGCGCTGCGTTAGTGCGCACAGTGCGCTTAGGATCTCTTCCAGGAAGATCACCGACTGATCCAGTTCTTTCAAACCGGGTGATTAGTGTTCCGAATCATGTTATCGCTGACATTAAAATGTTGCCGGTATTTTCTCTGAGTTTGAATAATTGATCTTCCATTGAAATAGAAAAACCCAGTGAGTTTTACTTGTCGCTGTGACATCATACGCAGCCTTTTTAATCTCCATGGGATTCTCTATATCCTGTTATAAAAAAAATAAAAAAGAATAAAAATAATTGAAAACGAACGAGTGATGACTTTTTAAACACTTCAGTTTTTCTCCCTATACTTAAATATTGCTATCATTTTTAAGTTACAGTTAAATTTAACTTAGAAATTTAGCTTAAGTTACCTTAAAAATGGTATCAACAGGGATATAAACATATTTCCTTGGAAAAGTTAACAGGTATAAAGAGTGTTATTATATATTTGTATTTTGGAAATTATCATGAGGATTGTTTGGTTGATTTTTATTTAGCGTTATATCAACCTCTATGGGTTATTTAATGACGAAATCAACATATTTTGAGGTAATTTTACGCTTTCAGGATATGTTTGCTTTATGTATATAGTTTGTAGATCATAAAATGTAATCTTTATAATTTTGCTATAAATAGGCATAGTTGACCGGTTGATTTTGTTTAGCGGCATATCAATCTCTATGGGTTATTTAATATTGATGTTAACACTGAGCAATAACAATGTTTTATGCTTGCACCAAGACCATAAATAGTTGATCCAAGCCACAATGAATATGGCCTGAAAAATCTTGCTGCTTGTAATTGGCCTCTCTGTTCACTGGTGTTAAGCACTTTTGTCTCTATCTATAAAAGGCAGGATGTGTGTGTGTGTGTGTGTGTGTGCGTGTGCGCGCGCGCGCGTAACGAATGCACGGCCGCAATTTTCGCCGGATCTGCACCAAAATTTACATGCACATGCTTCAAGTTAGCGGGAAGCTAAGACCGACTTTGCATTTCCCAATTTCCATCGAGTGGAAATAATCGATTTTTCATGCTTCTACGGTAGTTTTCATGTAGTTTGCGGCCATTTTCTACTGGCCAGAGTGAGAGCCAATAGCTGGCTGCCACAAATAGGCAGGAAGATTCTATTGGTCAGCGTAAGAGCCAACAGCTGACTGACACGAATGTTAACTAACATGCTAGCATGCAAAAAAAAATCGATAGCTGCATTCGTCACAAGTGGGAAAAATTTAAATCTGCATGGCACTTTACTCCAATTGGCTCATTCGCTTGCTTAAACTCAACGTTGATTCTGACTCCGTAGAACTGGGTTGGGTGTGAAAAAGTATTTGTTGTTAACATTCTTTTTTCATTCGGTTTTTCCAGTTACGAGTCCTTTTTTTAAAGCTGATCGTTTTGTGTTCATTTTGTTTAGTTCTTTTTTCGTAACAGATTTAATGTTTAGTATAGAGCTTAGAAAAATTCGCAGTGTGAGTTAGGCAAGAAGTTAGGCCTGTAGCAACATCAGCACGGCAAAGGGCACTCCTTTAAAGACAAGGAAGGGCAAAAATATTTTAATTCAAGCGATAGCGATAGCGATTGCTGTATGAGTCGTACGATTTTTTAATCAAGCACGGGAAACCCCTGGCCATGCTGCTAGTCAATAAATATAGCACAACTTCCAATAATATTTTAACAAATACATATATATATATATATATATATATATGTGTGTGTGTGTGTGTGTGTGTTTATATATATATATATATATATATATATATATATATATATATATATATATATAGAGAGAGAGAGAGAGAGAGAGAGAGACAGAGATACACTCGGTGGGATAATAGCAACTTTGATTGAACAATCGGAGAGGCGAGTTTAGGTTACATTCAATTTCATTCGATTCACATGCGTACTAAAACCATTTGAAAAGATATGAATTAATCTCTCCATTCCCAGCTATGAGTAAATATCATGGCAGACAGTGGCGAACGGTATAGGTGAAGGACAACTCTTAATTCAAAACATGCGCAGCGTCACTTTGAAAATCTTGTGGCATACTGTGAACAGGTCCACTTCCAAAGGCGTTGTTTGTTCTGCACAAGCCTTTCCTACTTTAATCAATGCCTGGCTCTTGGTCGGAAGAGTCCAGTATATATATATATATATATATATATATATATATATATATAGAGAGAGAGAGAGAGAGAGAGAGAGAGAGTAAGAGAGAGAGAGAAGATATAATATACAAATCTATATAGCAGAATAATTGTCATAATTGAAGACATATTCCTAAGTAACGCTTTAGAAGGAACTTCTTCAGACAAGTAATGGTTTTCGCAATGACATCAGAGTTATTATTTATTAGGGTGAAAATGTATTGGAAGTGAAGCAATTTCAAAGTCTTTCACGATAAACTTCCCGCCAATCACGTTTATTGACAAAATTAATTCTCATATGTGTGGTATTTAAATCACAAATAATAATCATAATAATAATAATATCAACAACAACAATAATGAGAATAATGATAATAATATTATCAACAACAATATTAACGATGTGAAGCACAATGAGGTGAGTTACATAATGCATCAAGATAATCTGGTCATCAAAAATTTAAATTTACGCGAAAACGTCCATGTAATTTTAGCATCTCAGTTGTAAAATCGCTTCATATCATTTCGCATAAAAAGACTTCATTGAGATATATACACACACACACACACACACACACATATATATATATATATATATATATATATATATATATATATATATATATATATATATATGAGAGAGAGAGATAGATAGGCAGGTGGAGTGATGGGGAGAGTGTAAGGAAAAGCAAATATAAATCAACACTGCATATTTTATGTTTTATGTCACAAGTGCAATTAAAACCACAATGACCATATCAACAAGCACTCTCTCTTCGAAATGGGCCATTCTTTCCCCATAAATATAGAAAATTTTAAACTCTCTCTCTTTCTCTCTCTCTCTCTCTCTCTATATATATATATATATATATATATATATATATATATATGTGTGTGTGTGTGTGTGTGTGTGTGTTTGTAATCTTGATTAACTTAACCTTTTCTGTAGTATGGATAAGATCATTGCTTCTTCGA